CCCACACAACCCCCCCCAACAAAAAAAGAGGTGGGGGGGGGGGTAGAGACTTCAGTCTAAACTCTATTTTAAAGCCTGACTGGCTGCACCTACAACCACCACAGCCCCTCACAGAATATTTTCTGATTTTAAAACAGACTTTAGAGCCACACACATTTTAAAATTAAAATCTACACTGCAAGACCCATCAGAGCACAGAAACCTAGCCCTACCCCCCAAGCTGCAAAAAATTCTGTACAGTAAATACAGTGTACTCACCCAGAACAGGCAGTCTTTCTGTTTTATAAAAGAAAGTAAAAAAACCAAAAATTTAAAAAAGCCAAAAAAATACAGTATAGTCCATACAGTACAGTACCAGGCAGTCTGAAGTCTCTTTCCGTATCCACGCTATCTAACCGCTAGGGCGAGTGAGGTATCAGACAAGCAGCCTCTTTGCTGGCCAACGGCTAACTGAAAGTTCAAATTTCCCACCTTCTCCATGGTTTTTTTCTATTCATAAGTAGAAGCTCTGTTCGCAAGTAGAAGCAAAATTTTGCGAACGGAGCTGTTTGTAAGTTGAAATGTTCATAGGTAGGGATGTTTGTCAGTAGAGGTTCCACCATGTTTGATTCATGGTTTTTTCTGGGCTTTTCTTTGGACGTTGGACATCTTTTTATTGCTTTCCTTTTTTAAAAAAAGAGCACATCTCATTCTCTGAATGAGTACCTTGACTGATTTTTTTCCAGACCTTTCTTTGAGGGTCTTTGATATGTTCCACATGTGATTTTCTTATGATTTTATGTGAGAGTGTTGTGTTTCAAAAACATGACTCTGTCTTGCTACTAGAAGAGGGAGGGAAGTATGTTGTCTTTTGTTGTTGTTGTTGTTCTTAGAGGCTCGTGGCCAGCAGCACACTTTTTTTTCTCAATTTCTTAACATCCTGAAATAAATCCACATTTCAAACACCTTTGTATTTCTTTGTAATTCCACGCCATATTTTTAAATCAAGAAAGCATTAGCATAAGATCATCAGATCATCATCATATTTGAGCCGCATGTGCATTTTCAAGTTTTTCTTGCATATTCTTGCATTATTTATCTTAAGGCCTTCTCAATTTTGATTTTTATCACCAAGTTTTGACTCCACTGTTGATTCAATCTAATTCCTTCAGTTTTAGATGATTGTTGTTTTCCTGGGCGATTTGCCTCTAGGCAGCTAATTCCACATTCTTTCTCTTCTTTCTGTTCTGTTATTTTTAATTTCTTTTTCTCTGTGAGTACATGGAATAAGAATTAATATGGAATGGTTAAGATTTTGTTTATGAACAACTGGAGTCGAAATGAGTATGGAGTGGTAACAAAATTTCAGTGGATATTTTTTATCCTTTCGAAGTCCAGGGTAAAAAGGATATACTGTAGTTTTGAATGAAAAAGATATTTCATCCATGGTTTCAGTTATCTGCAGTTTACTATATACAACATACAAGGGAGCAGGCCTTTGTCTCACTTCCTTGTATGTTGTATATAGGGTTTGCTACTACTGTACCTTTATTTTCAGGCATTCACAGTAGATTGTGGAATGGATCCCTCACAAATACAGTGGTTCTACCGTATGTTCCAAAATATCCGGAACAGTGCAGCAGAACAAAATTCAACAGGGCATATTCTCAAAGTGTGTGGAGATTACAACCTTGGGATCAAGCAGATATGTGCCATATGACTGATAAAAATATTAACTGTGCGTGTTCAGTTTTCCTTTGTTTTATGAATTTGCCCTAGTAGTGTGTAGTAGTAGAGCATTACGCAGGACTGCCTGCTACATTAGGGGGGTATTCTTACAAAATTCATCTTCTAAAATGGTTGTGGTTAGGAAGATTGAAAAAGGAGGCATACTGAAATACTGCTTCCCTGGTAAAGGAATACTCTGTTGTAGATAGCAAAGGTCAAGCATCTTACATTAAATTCCTTTAATGTGTTGGAATTTTATTGTATTCTGAATTGTACTTTAAAGTTTAATACCTCAGCTCTTACTGATAACTCATGGTATCTATGGGCCTTAATTTTTACATAGTTTTTTTAATCCATTCTGTTCCTACACCTTATTGCTCAAATATATCTCATACTGCTAAAGAAGCAAGTCAAACTCTAAAGGGCTTGGCACATGACTCCCGAATGCAATGCAGCTTCTCTGAATCATAACAAATGTTCAATTGTTCAGTGTTTAAATGTTTCTTTTAGTTGCAGGAATTCAGATGAATCAAATTTCTGCTCTTGGACTTTCAACACAACGATCAACTTTCATTACATGGAACAAGTATGTAGCATGTGAACTGGATATAACTGATTGAGGTCTTGTGTTTGTTTTAAATATAGATACTATGAAATAAATTAGAAGGACGATTTGTCCCAAAGATTTTGTTCAATTGGCTAACAAAATCCGTTGACCAGCAATGGACTATTTGTAGCACTAATTAAATATAACTGTACCCACAAAAGGAGTCATGTCACTTACACACATTTCAAATTATTTATTTATTTATTTATTTAATTTATACGCCGCCCACACTACCCAAAGGTCTCTGGGCGGCATACAGCATTTAAAATACAATAAAGATATGTAACAATTAAAATACAATTAAAAAATATATAAAATTGCCTGAAACATTGCAATTAAAATTGACAGCTATTTGCAATTAATGGCATTACACAAATGTATGTCCTTTAATTTCAGGAAATCAAATTATACTTCTTGGTTTTTGTTTGGAATTCCGCTTACTCTGCAGGGTATATAAATATTCCATATTTTGTTTAAAATAAAATAAAATGCAATTTACAACTGTAGCATGCATTATAAAATGCAGTTGTAATAAGTATTTGTGGATGCACACCTGTAGAATTCAGAGGCAAGAAAACCTCACTTGTAAAGGATATATCTTCTAAGAATAGTTTTGAAATGCACATCCTCACTTACCTGGAATATACCTAAGAACATAAGCAAATCCTGATAGTATATACTGTGTTTTCCCGAAAACAAGACAGGGTCTTATATTATTTTTTCCGAAAAAATGCATTAGGGCTTATTTTCAGAGGATGATTTTTCCCCCATGTACAACAATCTACATTTATTCAAATACAGTCATGTCTTCTGGTTGCTGCACAATGCTGGAGGGTGGGATGTCACTTAACTGGGGCTTATTTTGGGGTTGGGCTTATGAGCATCCTGAAAAATCATCCTAGGGCTTATTTTCAAGTTAGTGCTTATTTTCAAGGAAACAGGGTAGAATATGGTATACAGATGTTCAGGTGGTATATAAGAGAATCTCCTGCTTATTCCAAATCATATCTGTCACAGTCCATAATTATTGTGGTGACTGAAGTTTCATGTTAATCTAGTCTATTTTGTTTCTGAATAATGTGGCATTCTACGCTGCTGTTAGATCAAAAGCCTTGCTTTGAAATAAAAAGTACAGCATCCACTCTTTCTACTCTTTTCTGATTACCCACTGCTTGAATTTGCATGGGTAACCTCAGTTTTTTATGTTCACATAATAGGATCTGTCCTTCCAGTGAGCACTCAGGGTTCATTTCCTTCAAAATTGATAGGTTTGTTCTCTTAGCAGTCCAGGGGACTCTCAAGAGTCTCCTCTAGAACCACAATTCAAAAGCATTAATTCTTCGACAGTAAGAATTTATGGTCCAGCTCTCACTTCCATGCATTGCTACTGGAAAAACCATAGCTTTGACTATGTGGACCTTTCTCGGCAAGGTGATGTCTTTGCTTTTTAAGATGCTGTTGAGGTTTGCCATCACTTTCCTCCCAAGAAGCAGGCGTCTTTTAATTTCGTGGCTGCTGTCATCTTCTGCAGTGATCATGGAGCCCAAGAAAGTAAAATCTGTCACTGCGTCCATATCTTCCCCTTCTATTTGCCATGAGGTGATGCAATCAGTGGCCATGATCTTGGGGGTTTTTTTATGTTGAGCTTCAGACTGTTTTTTTTTTTTTTGCACTCTCCTCTTTACCCTCATTAAGAGGTTCTTTAATTCCTCTTCACTTTCTGTCATCAGAGTGGTATCATCTGGATATATGAGGTTGTTGATATTTCTTCTGGCAATCTTAATTCCAGTTTGTGATTCATCCATGCTATTGTGCCACCCTACAGTAATATGGAGAGAAGTATAATGTTCTGGTTTACTCATCAATTCATTGGTTGTACTGTACACATTGTAAACTTAGCGCTCTTTCTTGTTTTTCAGGAAAACCGGAAAACCTTTCCATAACTTCATCAGTTGGCAAGATGTGAGAGCTGGTGAACTTACAAAATCTTGGAACAGATCTCTTTTAATGAAGGTGAGGTAGTACTCTTGTATTTGCTAACAATTAGAAGAAGTGGATATGAATATAGTATTGCTTCAAACCACCAGAAGAAAATTAATATTCATAGTCATATTCTAAAAGAGTACGATGGTATACTTTGCCCAAGACTTTACTGGTACAGCTGATGCCAAGCACACATTCAGAGATCTTCAATAAATAATTAAACTTTCAGTGAATGAACTTTTCAGACCATGGACTGCACATGCAGCAGAGTGAACCAGAATCTGCATGTGCAGACTTAATAGATTGTGAACTTCTGGCTGCAGGTTGCATTTTTTAATACTTCTGGAGAATATTCTGCAAAATGGAGTACTCTCAGATCAGTGTGGTATAAGGGGTAAGAGTACTGGACTAGAACTTGGAAGGCAAAGATTCTACTCCCCACTGAGCCATAAAATTTACAATGTAACCTTGGACTGGTTATTTGACCAAACTCCGGGAGGCAGTGGAATACAAGTGGGCCTGGCATGTTCTGGTCCATGGGGTCACAAAGAGTCGGACACGACTTAATCACTAAACAACAAACCTTGGACTGATTGTCCCAGAAAACAACGGGCGGCCATTTTGTTTACCCGGTGGCCATTTTGAAACCGCCGATCAGCTGTGCGAAAATGGTCGCTTTGCGACGATTGGTTCCCGAAGTAGGGAACCGATCATCGCAAAGCGAAATTCCCTCATAGGGAACATCGCTAAACGGAGTGCTCGCTAAGCGAGGCACCACTATATATACTGTGAAGTCAAGCAGTTTATTCAGCGACATAATTTTCTCCCCTCTTTTGTGGCTTAAAGATGCGGATCTTATATCTGCACGAGAAACATGTCTAACCAAGTTTGCTTCTTACTGGGCTGTATGAAAGTGGGCCAGCCAGTTTCCTGAACAGCAGAGCATCCTTGGGACTACCATGATGGAGACAATTGGATGCTTCCGTTGATTTTTTGTTCCAGAACCTTCTTTGAAAATAGTTGCCTCATTCCTTCTGCTGTCCCATGCACAAATTGACGGAGGTTATTGTCACATTTTTCAATAAATTCGGAGTGCCATAGGGGTGAATATTTTTCTTTGGGGTAAAGTATAGCACACCTAATCTGATAGTCAACCCTATTTGGAAATTTCATGCACATTTTCTAGCAGATGAATTGTTCTGTTCATGTAGGTCAGAGTATGTGTGGTAGTCTTAAAAACAAGAAGTGATACTGTGCATGAGAGAGTCCAAATATTGATCCGCAAATCTTGTTTTGAAACAGGCAGTGCGTGGCCTTTCTTCGCTGCTCCACTTTTTCACTCGGATTGACCTGTTTTTGTTAGTAAGTCATCTGACATTTACAACACAGCACATCTCTTTAAGACTGGCTTGGGTTTTGCAACATATAAGTGAGGTAAGGCTTCTCTTAATATTACTTGTATTGCTTGGCAAGTTTCTGTCCTTCACAGCACAGCACATCTCATTAAGATTCTGATAGTTTTTGCAGTGTAAGTGAGGGAAGGCTAGTCTTAATCTCTATGTATTTATTCTTGTATTGAATTATTTGGAATTCTGGCAAATAATACTCTTTCAGGATAATAAGAATAAAAGTGTAATGGATTGGTTTCTGAACTTGGAGGTGTGGGTAGAGCAAAGAAAATTCAGTAGGAATGCAAAACTGAAATTAAAAGGGGGGGGGGTTGAGGAATAACAACTTCAACAAATTCCTGTAATAGATATTACAGAGATTTAAGATTTCTGAAGGAAACATTATTTCTAATTTAAAATAATGTTTTATTAAATTGTATTCTTTATTTTTTATTTTAAATTATAAATTGGCTTTTTTTGTTGTTAAAATGGAGTCGGATGATGTGAAAGGTGATAAGCATGAGAGTTTCTCAAAAGTCAAAAAGTGAACATGGTGCCAAAAGCTTTGGGAATCATTGATGTCATACGTATTTCTCACATGGATTTTATAGTGTATTGCATTATGATATGAGTTTGCAATTTGTTTGATCCAGTTGCCAAATCCTGATGAGCTGAACGTCATGTTTTGTATTTGTACCTTGTACATTGGCATCCTGGGGAAGGCAGGACTGTATCATTAATTATCCGTAAAGTCATCTATATATTGTCTAGAAATGCAAGCAAAGGAGTAACTCGGTGGGAGCTTGTCCAGCTCCATATATCATGTTTCTCATTGTTCCTTTTAATATTTATTTTGTTGACTGGACAGTATTCGCACTGATCCCAAGAAGATCTGATTTTTTTTTTTTTGCATGAGTATGCAATATATTTTGATTCACAATAGGAGAATATCTGGAAGCCCCTGACTTGGTTCAAGTATCTGATTTTGGTATTGCATGAAGTAACATGTTATCCAGCCTGTGTTATAGTTTGTATTGTTTTTATTAATAAAGAAATATGCCTGTGTGTGTTTCTTCTTAGGTAGAGCAAGCTATTAGAGATGATAATTGTTGTTTTGGAACAGTTGACACGTGGCTTCTATATAAACTCACCAAAGGTAAGAAGAAATTATACAGAAAAATAGTACAAATTTAGTCATATTGGAAAGTCTTTATAAGTTGAGGTAATAAGCAATTGTAAGGTATATTTGTTATTATTTATTATGTATTGGAAGAAGAGTCAGCTTTGAGGTATATTCCTCACTGTCTAAGTTTAAAATATTGTTGTATATAGAATATTTTAAAAATCAAGGGGTATGGAAAGGTAGCCCTGAAAATAAAAGTGTTTTTAATTTGAGGCTTGAAAATAGTTTACTATAGAAAGTGTGCTGCTATAATCATTGCAAAACAATTTGCTAGCTCTCCTGCTGATCAGTGTCACTGTGCCATAACATTCCAACAGCTGAACATGTTTACGTTACAATTTTTGGATATAGAGTGTTTGCAGCTCTCTATAATTACAATATTTTGCAGGATTCTGGGATTCCAGATCTTGAGGTCCAAGAAATTTTTTTAGCATAAAACTTTTATGCTGCAGCCCTTTGTTACTTCAGGCTCTGCAAACCTTTCAGTCATGAGAACATGAGAACAATCTTATTGTTATTGTGGGAGTGTGCGAGATATTAAGTTACAAAACTCTTGTGTTACAGTACGTGCAACAACAATTAAGATACTGTATCCATTAAAAATATTTTCATGGATCTCATGGCCACTAGAAAAGAAATTGTTTACAAATTGGGGGAGATGTAAACAACTGAAAGAACTATAAATATAGAGAGATAAGTAACACATACAGCAATTTAACTTCATGCTATGCCACACACACCAGATATTAACAACAGTTATGTAGCAGTGCACACACACACACACACACACACACACACACAGAGCAACAATCACGTAGCAGTACAGCAGCTTCATTTTCAAAAGCCAGCAACATAGATTCCTCCATAGATTCAAACTAATTTGGCTAAATGAGCATTTACAAATTTTTGTGTGTGTTTTCTTAATATGTTTAGAGGCTAAAAAAGTATACTTTGAGAAGGTTACTTGTCTAGCAGAGAGTCTTTTTCAGTGGGTGCGAATCATGGGAGGAGAGCAAAAACAATTATGTAGAGATTTTGTTTTGTTTTCTCATTAGCATCTTTCCACTTCTGTGACATTTGGCTCTAAACCAATATACGTTCTATATAACTTAGGTTTTGTTATTCTGCAAAATAACAAAACAAAAGCTTCTATGCTAAAGTAGCACCAATCCTTACCTGAAGAAAGCCTGACTAATATCACATTCCCTTTTCTGTCCTACCACCAATTTTCTTGAGTCTTCCTTCTTTTTTAACTGGATGTCATCCAGTGTTCTCCCACTGGGCCCACAAGGTATTCTCTGCTCTATCCACAAGGAGGCAGAATATTTCAAGGAACCATCTGACCTGTGGGTTGGAGTAGGAGGTAGCTTCTACTTCCTCTTTGGCTCTGTTTTGCTTCTGCCAACACAACAAACTCCTCCTACCTTGCATGTTGACCCTGCTCTCTCAGGCATACTGGAAGAAAGAAGGAAGGAAGCATCACAAAAAAGTCTTCCTTCCTCTTCAAGGATTCTTCAGTCATCCTTGTGTTGAACTCAGCCCTGGATTCCTCTCAGGCAAGGGCTTGTCTTCTTTCTATGTTATCCAATGGCCCTCTCCTCTCCCTTTCCTACTGTTTCCTCCCTCTCCTAAGGTTTCTTCTATTTAAAAATTTTTATACTATTTTATGTTGTTAGCCGCCTAGAGTGGTCTTAACCGACCAGATAGGTGGGATATAAAATAAATAAATAAATAAATAAATTTTCTTGGTTTATTTTGTTGGGAGGCTTCACCACACCTTATTGGGGCTGGTCGATTTCAGCCCCCAAAGAGGAAGACTGGGTTTTGTGGAAGTGACTTTTCAGATGCTGTGGACGGGGAACAGCACTGCTACCTCTCTTTTATTCTTAATCTAGTAGCAAAAGTCAGCTTCTTGTACCACTCTGCTGCAGGGATATAGGTCCTGTTCCTAGTGGGTATTTTCCCAGATCCATTTTCTTCTCTGTTTTATTCTCCTAAGAACTCTTCACTATCCTGATGATACGACAAAGCAGAGAATTGGGAGTTATTGCAAAAAATGTGTATTCTGTTTAGTTAGCTGGAGAAATATTGGAGTTCCTTTGGAAATTATTCTCAGCTCTCCCTCTTGTGTCCTTGTGACCTATGATAATGTACTATTGCAACATTTCCATGTTAGTGTGAGGCATCTGCATTGAATGAATGAGATGTGCGGGGGGGGGGGGAGAACCTGGCCCTCAAACTACATATTCAATAAGGACATTGGAATAGATTGGTTTTTTGCCTTTTCCTTGTTTATTCAATTCTTCTTCACTTGCTGGAGCAGACAGGGCCCAAGTTTTGATCAAAGGGATGATCTGTCTAAATAATATTGCTACGACCTGGGTTGTGCTGCTTAGAAAAAAGGGTTCTTTAGTAGGTGGTGCCGTCTGCTACAGTCCACTAACTAAGCCTGTGTTTGAATAGATCCTGCATCCTTATGTGTAAAGCAGGGCAAAGGTGCCCAAAGATTGTCTCCTTATGTGTAAAGCAGGGCAAAGGTGCCCAAAGATTGTCTCATGTATTTTTCAGTATCCAATTTGATCCATTCCTTTTGATACCCAGGTACAGTGTATGCTACAGATTATTCGAATGCAAGTTCTACTGGATGTTTTGATCCCTTTAAGGTATGAATAATATCTCTCTGAAAAGCTGTTGCAGTGTTTGTTCTGCCTTGATTTTAATTCCTTTTCCCCACATGCATGTGGTTTCAGCTGCAGTGGAGTGTGTTCCTTTGCAAGTTACTTTCCATTCCGATATCAGTTTTCCCACCAATAGAAGACACAAGGTAAGATCAAAATGTGTGTGTGTGTGTGTGTGTGTGTGTGTATTTGTGAATGAAAGCCTGAACAGCTATGCATTTATATAGGAACAAAATTAAACTAATCCACAGCTGAGTTCTACATAGTAGTAGTACATATTGCACATTGATATGTAAGAATACAGATTAATAAGCAAAGATTAATTGACTTAAGAGTGCTAACCTGTAAACTTTACATTTATTTTAAGTCACAACTACGGATCAGTTGATGCTGAAATATTTGGTGTGTCTATTGCAATAACAGCTTTGGTAAGTGACTTCTGCCTTTCCCTTCTCCCCTCAGAACAGGATTGAGCTGATGTAGCAGTTCAACAATACTTTGAGGACCACGCGATGCTCACACCAGCTATGAGATATATTTAGTAGTAGTTGTCTATTGAGTGACATATCCCAGAACAATATTTCAATGGGCCAGTGAATCTATGCTTCATGTACTATGTATGGCTAAAATTATATTTTAGAACTATTTGAAATAGATACAACTATTACATCAAAAAGTTTTTTTACGTGAGAAACTTGGCTGCTTTTCAGTTTTTTGTTGGTCTAATGATTGATTTCCATTCTACTTCCCAAAGCTTGATGAACAAGAATTGTTTCTGTAAACTATAACTGTAATTGTTGTTTAAAACTGTAGCTGAATTGCCCAACAGTAGCAGAGAGTAAACACAAGCTTCATTGGCTGGCTGGACTATAACAGTACATCTTACATTCCCCAGCCACTGCTGAATTGTCCTGCATTTTTTGAATTGCATTTTCATTTATTCATTTTGTTTTAGTTTCCTTTTTGCCGTTTTTAGTAGATTTCTTTTGAAGTTGCCTTGAGATCCTAAATTTGATGATCTATGTCAAGTATAGGCAAAACACTTCACACACACCCAAGTCTCCCAGGCCCATGATACCAAAAATAGATTTTTTTTTTTTACCAGTTGTATTTCCCCCATCGTTTAACGATGTTCTCTATGGGGGAATTTCACTTAACGATGTCCATTTTTGCTCATTTAAAAGTGTCTTAAAATGTTTGAAACCTGTTTTAAATGCTTGGATTCCATAGTGCACCTTGTGAAACATGTGCAGACTTAATTTGGTTTTGTTCTGAGTCTTCATTAATTTTTGGTGATTTTTTTATTTTCCCCATTTAAATCACTTGAATGGACAGTTCAATGCATTTAAATAGGGAAAACAAAAAATCACTTAAAAATGAGCGAAAAGGGACATCGGAAAGGACTTCAAAAGCACTGAAGCCGGCTTCAATGCTTTTGAAGCTCTTCCGTTTTCTCTCACTTTTAAGGGTCTTACAATGTTTGGAACATGTTTTAAATGCTTGCAATCGTTAGCCCACCTCCTGAACCCTATGCAAACTTAATTTGGTGTTGTTCTGAGTCGTCTTTAATTTTTGATGATTTTTTGAATTTTCTCTCATTGGAATGCATTGGACGGAAAGTTCAATGCATTCCAATGAGAGAAAATTCAAAAAATCACCAAAAATTAAGGACGACTCAGAACAACACCAAATTAAGTTTGCATAGGGTTCAGGAGGTGGGCTAACGATTGCAAGCATTTAAAACCTGTTCCAAACATTGTAAGGCACTTTTAAATGAGCAAAAACGGACTTCGCAAAGCCATTGAAATGAATTGAGTCTGCTTCAATACATTCCAATGGAGGAAACATTGTTTCACTCAACGATGTTTCCTATGGGTTTTTTCACTTAAAGACGGCAATCCGTTCCAATTGGAATGGATTAACTGGTTTTCAATGCATTCCTATGGGAAATGGTGTTTCACAGAACGATGTTTCACACAACGTTGATTTTTTTGGAACCAATTAACGTCGTTGTGTGAGGCACCACTGTAAATAATGTCATTATTTAATAAATAAGCTCATTCTTCAGTAGCATTTATTTTAAAATAAATAATATAAACCGTTAGTAGCCATGTTGGCTGCACCTCTTCATACATTTGCCCCTCCTAATTAGGAGTGCAGTCAGTCTGAAGACCAGCATTTGGTCCTTGCTGATGTTGCCTTCCCCATTCTAAGTGTGAGAGAGATGGGATTTCTGCTTCTCTACTTGCTTATACTGGCTGGCCTTTCTGGATCAATCTGCTTTCACTGGCTTCAGAAAAATCTTGTGTAACCTGTATCGTAACAGGCCTTTTTTAAATCAGAAGGTTACAGTCCTTATTTGTGTGGGGAATGATGGGGACTTACAGGGAAACAGTCTACCCAGTCTACCATCTCTAGGGACCCTGGGAGGGTTGTGTAAAATTAGTGTTTTGAAATGTTTATGCATTTACTGTTTATACTGTAGTGTTACATACCAGAAAGAAGTAGACACTATAGTTGCTTTGTATAATGTGCCCATTTATTGATCATTATTCAAGTGACACTGAAGAATAGCAACTTTGAGATTGGAGTAAATGTACTTCTCCCAGGAACCAAAATCAGATGGAAGATCAATCTCAAATCAGCAACTATTGTTCATGCCAGTTAATGTTTTCTGTGATTCACCTTCTTATTTACTGCAGGAAATACATTTTTAATATAGTAGCTGTCATTCAGAGGTTTTCCTTGAGTTTCTCCAAACTTTGATCTTGATCATCTGACTCTGTCTTTGCACTGACAACATTTGGAAAGAAGACTGTAACATATTGCCTTTCTTATTGTATCCCAAGAATATGCGTGATCTCTTGGACTTAACTTGGTTCTAGACTCTAGGCTTTGTGCTCATCCTTATATCCTAGTTATTGTGTGAAATATTTCTCAATCTAATTTTAACATTGCTTTGACTTATTATCTCTTATGAGATAACATACGTAGAATCTTACTATATCTCAAGGAGTCCTCTTCCTTCATACTCCTTATATGTATCCCACCCAATAACATTGTACATTAAATGTATGTGAGTAAGGAACTTTTCCTTAATGACTAGTGGTCTGAGAGGGGTTTTAAATGGGCTTTTGTGCTCAGCTGTTGTAAATGTTTTGTAATATTGATCTTAGTTATCATTTTAATAGAATACAGTACTTGTTTAATTCTTTTTAAATACAGTGGTGCCCCGCTTGACGATTACTCCGTTTTACGATGCAACCGCTTGACGATGAGGTTTTTGCGATCGCTATAGCGATCGCAAAATGATGATTCAGTGGGGGGTTTCTATTTTATGACGATCGTTTCCCTGCTTCGGTAACCGTTTTTTTGCATTACGATGATTAAAAACAGCTGATTGTTGGGTTTTCAAAATGGCCGCCCGCTGTTTTCTGGACTTATTTCCGGAAGACAGCGATGCAAAATGGCTTCCACTATGGAAGATCTTCGCTGGACAAGCAGGTATTTTCCCCCATTGGAACCAATTGACCTGTTTTTCAGTGCATTTCAATGGGGTTTTTTTCCCCGCTTGATGACGATTTCGCTTAACAGCGATTTGCCTGGAACGCATTATTGTCATCAAGCGGGGCACCACTGTGTTTGTATATTTACTGTTTTTAGCTTTTAAATTGTGTTTTGATGATGTAAGCAGCCTTGGATTCTTTGGGGGAGAAAGGGGGGTATGAAAGAAAGAAATAAGGAAATAGAGAGAGAGAGAGAGAATTATAACTTCCCAAAGGATGTTCCTTCCAAAATGTCAAATGTTGTTTGAGGCAGCCTTTGATGTTTACCTGACAGTGCTCTCATTTCCCCTTCCCCTTGGTCCTGTAGGTTGCAGATCAGCAGGCAGCCATGTTTGGTCAGTGTTGTTTTGATGCAGGGGATCTTAAAGTCACCATGGGGACTGGTTCATTTTGGGATATTAATACTGGGCCCAAAGTTCATGTATCTAGAAAAGGTAAGTCTGCTTGTGTTCTAAATTTTTGAATGAAGAAATCATTGTGAATAGAAGTTCACAAAAAAGTAGAAAAAATAATTGACTAATACAGTATAATTAAAACAGTGTCATGTAGACATTATTCAATGAATAAGTCCAGCAAACTTAATTCATAGAAAAGTATGTATTAGAAACAAATCAGCTGTGTTTGTTATCATATGTATGTATGGAGAGCATTTGGAGAGAAGAGATGTTATAAACAGTCTGCTTTCCATCCAGAGCTTCTGAAATGGAAACGCACTGAGTGCATATTTGTAAATAAAATAATCCATTATTTTACCATGCCTAATTCATGATCTGTTTTCCTTTTGAAGAAAGTATAATAGATAGGTTCAGTGTAAGAAAAATAAGTGCTTTTTTCCAAGATGGTCAACTAACAAAATGAATCTATAGGATTGCAATGTTAGATACAGTCCCTGATCATTGGGCATGCTTACTAATGCTATATATGTTTACTCAGAAGACATGTGTCTAGTATTATTTGATGCTTCCATGATTTTGGCCTTTGGCAACCCATTTCCTTTGTTTAAAAAATTGGATTTCCCGCTTCAATGCAGAAATGGGAAATTTGTTTCACTAGGAAGGACATTGGACATGGGCAAGCAGTGCTGTGGAAGGGCTACAGATGTCATATGTATATGTATGCATGGCCACTGTAATGTAGTTATTATAGTTCTAGAGTAAGGTCATGGAAATGTTGGTTCAGATCTTTATTAATCCATGTAACTTCATCTGCATATTACAGAACAGATTTGGGGTGTTACAGCGAGAGAGAGTAAAATGATGGTGGGGGAGGTAACTGTATGTGCCACATTGAACTGTTTGGAGGAATGGGAGACTAACTATATTAGATTGTATCCAACAGTGCAGAAGAAAATCCTTTCCAGCAAAGGTCTTTGAATTAGTGGACATTGTAGTTTGTGGAAGAGAGAGGAACTTTGGTGGTTGGCCTTTACCATTCACCTTCCCTATCAACTCTTAGGCAATTCCAGAGGGTTTCTTAGTCTTCAGAGCAAATTCTTGGAGGCTGCATGGATCAAGGGAGTTTGAAAATAATTCTCCTTCCCTTTCCATTAGTTTATTCTGAAACTTTTCTGTGAACAGAAGGGCTCCATTGGTGTCATTTCCTAAATAAATAATACATCTTGTTATTTCAAGGTGTATATCCATTGATTGGTTGGAAGATTGGGAAAGAATTGACCTACTTAGCCGAAGGCAATGCTTCTGATACTGGAAATGCTATAAAATGGGCTCAAAGCTTAGGTGAGTTACCTGAATTGAATATTTGAGCTTTGTCCAGCCCAGATATGTCTATAAACTTGAACCATAGAGAATTGGGTATAGGTCTCCCCACACTCCAGAACAATCTGGGAAAGGAATCCCAAGCCATTACAACTAAGGTTCCAATGATTTTAATGGATCTGCTCTAAATGTGACTAAGATTGTATCCAACCTATAATACCTGTTTTAACTGATAGTGTATGTCAGATTTGGATATTTTACTAAAACTAGCCCTCCATAAGATGATGCCTTCCAAAGTTTTTGGACGAGTCTCAGTAACCCTAGCCAACATGGCTAGTAATTAGAGGTTATGGGAGTCATGGTCCAAAACATAAGGAGGGCACCATCTTGGAAATGCTGTAGTAGTTGCTAGTTTCGCATGATGTGAACAAGTCTTAATCAAGCTTTGGGCGTGCATACACTTTCCCTTTGGTCTCCTGTAGAGTAACCAGAAAGAGAAATTGCCTGGCCCTCCTGCTTCTGCTCTTGGCTGATATTGTCTATCCGCCTCTTCTCTCTGAGCATGTCAGCAGTGATAAGTGGGTAGAATTAAAACAGAATTTCCCATTTGTCTTGCTCCTTCACCTTGGGTAATTCAATAGATTCTCTTCAGAGGAAGAAGTCAAGTAGGGTATTAGTGTCAGTGAAGAGAAGAAGTGGTTGACTCAGGCGCCTTTTCTTATAGGGCCCCCGGAACTTGGAATCAACATTGGTAGGATACCAGGAGACTAAATTAACTGAGGAAGCTGTTGCAGGAAGACTTCTAAGTGTCTGAGGGTTTGGGAAACACATATATTTCTTCAGTGTTGGGGTGTAAATCTTTAACTGAGGTGAAAATGCTGCAGAAATATGGGAGACTGTAACCCACATCTTCTATGCTTTCACAGGTCTTTTTACTACTGTGGATGAGACATCAGAAATGGCCCACAGCTTAATAAATTCAGGAGGTGTTTGTTTTGTCCCATCTTTTAGTGGGTTGCAGGTAAAAGTGCTGCTTTTATTTATTGAAGTGACATCTAACCTTTCGTCCCACATATAGTCATTCATCATAAATACATTCACCCTTCAGTATGTTTCCCATCAGTATCGAATTAGAAGGCCTCTGTGGTTAAATATCTGTAGTCTGAATAATGAAACATAAGATAATTCCTATGTGCTGCTTATTGCTGTCTTAATTTTCTTCTTCTTACTATGCTGCCTCTTATTGTCATCTGTAAGTTATTTTTTCTTAATTTTTCAGACTATTCTTAAACATCTGCCAGAAGAAAAATATTCTTGCATTCCTTATTTTCCTGTCTTTTTATTTTAGATTCCAGTGAATGACCCTTATGCGTGTACATCTTTTATGGGGATTACACCTTCCACCACCAAAAAACATCTTGTTCGAGCTATGTTGGAATCTATAGCTTTTAGGTACTAAGTGACAAATGCCAGCTAACATGAGATGTTGCTGACAGTTAGATCAGTACTTTTACTTTTTCTGAATTAAGGTTGTCCACATCATTCCACAACATGCCTACATTGTCATTTTCATGTACAGTGGTGCCTCGCATAGCGATCACTCCGCATAGCGAAGAAATCGCTTTGTGACGCTTTTCTTGCGATCGCAAAAGCGATCGCTTTGCAATGGCCCCTATGGGGAAAATTCACTTTGCGATGATCGCAGGGAAGTGATCATCGCAAAGCCCCCATTTTCAGCTAGCTGATTGATGGTTTCAAAATGGCCACCAGGTAAACGAAATGGCCGCCCGCTGTTTTCAGGCATGGATTCCTCACTTTAGAGGCACCGAAAATGGCAGCGCTATGGAGGATCTTCGCTTAAAGGTGAGTTTTAAGCCCATAGGAACGCATTAATTACATTTTAATGCGTTTCTATGGGCTTTTTATTTTCGCTTAGCGATGTTACTGCTTAGCAGCGATTTTTTTCGGAACAATTAACATCGCTAAGCGAGGCACCACTGTATGTGTGTATTTGAACTTAAACCTCGTGCACCTTATTATATCCACTGGCATGCAGATCATTGCAAAGCCCCGCCGATCAGCTGGCCGAAAATGGGGGCTTTGCGATGATCACTCCCTGCGATCCTTGCAAAGCCCCCATTTTTGCACAGCTGATCAGCAGTTCCAAAATGGCGGCTGCTGTTTTGCCTCACTTTAGAGGCACCCAAAATGGCCGCTGCTATGGAGGATTTTCACTTAAGGTTAGTTTCTAAGCCCATAGGAATGTATTAAACGCATTTTAATACGTTCCTGTGGGCTTTTTAAAATCGCTTAGCGATTAAATCACTTAGCGACATTTTTCCTGGAACGGATTAGTGTTGCTAAGTGAGGCACCACTGTATTGGAGGAGAATGCCTTAAGACTCTCTCTTCTCCCCACTTTGTTTCAGTGAGAATTGAGCTGACTAGGCCCATAGAAAGCAGCCCTCCTCAAGCACATTTGTTTCCTGCCTTCATTCTAACACAGTTTTGAAACTTTTACTGTTCATTATCGTTCTAGTCTAGCCTCTTGCTCTGATATTCAAACTCATCTGTTTTTTCAAAGACAGATTGATTCTTTCTGGTGACTCCTATCACTGCTTTATTTTTGAAGCGGAATACATGTAGGAATATGGAGTGCTTTGAACTGCTCAGAAGTTCTAATTTACTTTGTAATAGCAGACTGAGCTGCATTATGAAAAGAGTTTAATTTATCTAGTCAGTTTTGAGCTGACTAGAGCTGAATATAGTTTCTTGTTCAAATCATATCATACTTCTAATGTAAATGTTACTTTTGTATCCATATTTTCTGCCTAATCTCTCTTTTTTCCTCTTTTGCAAGAAACAAACAGCTCTATGACACCATCACGAAAGATGTGGGCATATCACCAACTTCCATTCGGTATGTTCATGTTATATTCCAAAATGTCATTGGTTTTATACCTGTGTAAATTCGTACAATATGAAAAATCTCCCAAGATGTTTTATTAAAAAGCCAACCAGTGGAATTTTCTGAAATAACAAATTCAACTACTGATTTAAACAACAAAGATCAACAAGTTTTATATAGTGCCAGCTTTACTGACTACAGCCCATTTGTTAAGATACATCTGAATAATGTACACATTCAGATATATCTTACACCAAAGAAAATTTGTTAGATCAGTATCCTGTTGAGCTTCTGTTGAGTGGAAAGCCCTGTCAGTGTGCTAATGTGGGGTCGTGCTGCTTGCACAAGTGCTGCCATTGCACAAGCAATAATTGCCAATGAAGAAAGCCCACGTTGAACTTTTGCAATAGCAGTGCTTTATTTAAGTGCTGTGATCCATGTTACTACACTGGCAGGACATTCAGTGAAAGCTCAATGGCATACTGGCCAAGGTAGTGCAGGACTTAGATGTTCTAGCTGCAACAGATTGTAACACAGCAAACTTTTTGAAAATTCCCATTGCTTTTAGGCTTCTGAATAGTTGGTAGAACTTCCTACCTCCCTGTTGATAACAGCAGAGCTACAATGAACATTTGGTAAACTACTTTGGCCAATTAGACATTCAGTAAACTAGTTTGACAAATCACTAGTTTTCAATCCACTCTGCAGGTGCAAACCTGATCCTTTATAAAGACAATGTTATCAGATGAACCACCTAGAAATAGAAGGTTGTTTAGAGTGAGCGTTCTTTTTTTAATCCTTATTTAGTACTTACTAATTGTGGACGGCAACAGCTCCACTGCCTTGCTACTATTGACTGAATAGATAAATAGGTGTTATCTGCATATTGGAGCACTTCAACCCAAATATCTGGATGATCTCACTCAGTGGCTGAAATATTGTTGATTAGTGTAGTAATTTGCAGTAGAATAGTAATCTGTACTTACAATAAGATTTCAGCCTATGTCTCAGTTCTACTTGATTCACCCAAAACATGGGAGTCAAGATGGAATACTGCTGACTAGAGATGGGGGATTAATCTTTGTCTATGAAGATGAATTGCACCGGCACATGTGGCTGGCCTGATTATGTCCTGCCCTCAGGACGTGCCAGTCCACTTACCACATGGTGTGCAGTAAGCCAATTGTGGCAGTAGCACGTCTCCCTGCTCAGCCTCCAAGTGGCTGGGCAGGCACAGAGGTGGGGCTGTGGCAGCTGGGCTACTGCTGTGATTGGTGCGCTGATGATGACGGCCACACATGCCACATGTTAAGTAGACCAGAGGGTTCTGGGGGTAGGAGGTAATTGGGCCAGCCACCTGTGCTGGCAGGATTTGTCTTGGTAGACAAAGACGAATCCCCCATCTCTACTGCTGACACAGTGGTTCCCAACCTTGGGTCATCAGATGTTCTTGGACTACAGCTCCTACAAATCCTGCCCAGCACATCTAGTGGTGAAGGTTTCTGAGAGTTTTGGTCCAAGCATATCTGGGGACCCAAGTTTGGGAACCACAGCAGTAACATAAATTCCACAGAACACAACAGTAGTCTTTCAGCATCCCTGTAAGCAGCCATATAGGCAAGAATATAACCAAACTCCGGTAAGTGATTCAGAAGGGTTATGGGCCAATGCATATATGTGCATGCACACATTCTGAGGTAATGTTTCTGACTCATCAGGGGGAGGGTTTCTGTTGCCTGCTTAGTGCCCAATGCATATATGTGCATGCACACGTTCTGTCAGAGGTAATGTTTCTGACTCATCAGGGGGAGGGTTTCTGTTGCCTGCTTTTGTCACTGAGGGTGCTTCCATGGAAAACATTTAATATGTAATTGTTATGCCTCCTTCATGTAATGTTGGGGTACAGAAGGTATCCAACAGGTGTCACAAGTCGATTGTGATCTTTCTCTATTTTCTCACAGCTGCTTCTATCTTTTATCCTACTGTATAAACTCCATTAAGGAGAAACAGAGTAGAATAGCATAATAGAAAAATAGGAAGAGTTGTATCTGGGCGAAACAAATTATGATATCAGATTGTTTCTCTTTCTGCTTATAGGCAGAAGTGGTGTTATCAGGCAGCTAATGTAAACAAAAGCCATTGCTTAACGGCAACAACCCTGCCCATGAGCAATGTTGCCATGTCATTGACAGGATGATTTTGGGAGATGCTCATCCTTTTTCTATTGCATATCTTGCACTTCCAGTTTCTGAGCCATTTCACACCCTACACCAAAGATTTTGTCTCTTGATCTGCTGGCTGTTAGCTTAACTAATAGTCTCTTTAATGATTTTCTTTCAACTCACAATATTTATTTAGTAGATTACACAGAAAACAGCTGTTACTGAATATACCTGTGTTGGTTCTAGCTGTACTTCTGAAAGATTGCAGCCCTTTAAGCACTGTTTGGCTAGAATACTATTACCTATTAGTGCTTGTATTTAAAAAAAATTTCCTAAGCCTTGGTGACAAATTGCTGCTCATTAATGAGATCCTGGTTAGGTGTGCCCAGGAATGCACCTAGTATTTCATTAATGAGCAGCAATTTGATTGTAAGATTTATGCAGTTTCCCTTGTTGTTGTTGTTGTTTAGTCGTGAAGTCGTGTCCGGCTTCGTGACCCCATGGACCAGAGCATGCCAGGCCCTCCTGTCTTCCACTGCCTCCCAGAGTTGGGTCAAATTCTTCTTGGTAGCTTCCATGACACTGTCCATCCATCTCGCCCTCTGTCGTCCTCTTCTCCTCTTGCCCTCACACTTTCCCAACATCAGGGTCTTACCCCGGAAGTCTTCTCTTCTCATGAGATGCCCAAAGTATTGGAGCCTCAGCTTCAGGATCTGTCCTTCCAGTGAGCACTCAGGGTTGATTTCCTTCAAAATGGATAAGTTTGTTCACTTTGCAGTCCAAGGGACTCTCAACAGTCCCCTCCAGCACCACAATTCAAAAGGATCAGTTCTTCGGTGATCAGCCTTCTTTATGGTCCAACTCTCACTTCCATACATCACTACTGAAAAAACCATAGCTTTGACTATGAAGACTGTGACAAACCCAGACCTACTGGGATCTGTCACACAGTTACACTAAGCTGCCACCAACAGACCATTTTTTGCGCTCTCCTCTTTCACCCTCATTAAGAGGTTCTTTAATTCCTCCTCACTTTTTGCCATCAGAGTTATGATCTACACATCTAAGGTCGTTGATATTTCTTCTAGAAATCTTAATTCCATCTTTGGATTCCTCCAGTCCATGGAGTTTTCTTGGCAAAGATACTGGAGTGGCTTGCCAGTTCCTGCTCCAGGTGGATCGCATTTAGTCAGAACTCTCCACTATGACCTTTCTGTCTTGGTTGTCCCTGCATGGCATAGCCCATAGATTCTCTGAATTACTCAAGCCCCTTCACCACAACAAGGCAGCAATCTGTGAAGGGCAGTTTCCCTTACATGTGTCACTTGGTAATAGAATTCTACTAATATTTTTAAAAATTTGCAATAGTACTGTAGTAGAATTGGATAACTCAAAACATAGAAAAATATGCTTGGAATGGAGAGGGGGCTAGGAATAGAAGTATCAGTGTTAAAACCACAATGTTTAAGAAAGAAAGGAGAGTGGAATTTCTATAAGTTTCTGAGTTGGATGTTCACCAATATGTTGCTCTTTCCCTTTTAGGCTGAGTGGATTAATTTTATTTACTGTGCTATGTTGTACATTTTATAAGAGGATAATGGAACAAAATAGTCAATCCTTAAAGAACAGTAGAATTGTGATGTACTGATTAACAACTTTACTATTTCTATATGATAGCATTCCTGTTCTGTAACTAGAACAAAGACATCTGGCAGGTTTGAAGATGAAATTAATTCCTGAGAACCCTTTTGTCTATGGTGCCCAGAACATAGCTCAGATAGATTTCCTGGAATTAAATAACTGGAAGAGTTTTCTTTTCCCTCTTACAGAGCTGATGGAGGTGTCAGTAAAAATAATTTTGTGATACAGATGACTTCTGATTTAATTAATAAAATGATAAGCAAACCTGTACATACAGATATGTCTTGTCTTGGAGCAGCTTTTCTAGCAGGCCTTGCTATAGGTACGTATCATCTGAATACAGGATGGCCATCTGTTGTAAGAATGTGGATACATAGGTGTTTTATAATGCAAAGATTTGCCGTTAAGTGTTTTATAATGCAAAGATTTGCCGTTAATATCAGTGGAAGCTGTAGAAAAGCAGAGGCAGCTGCACTGGCCCTAAAAGAAATTCCAAAGTCTTTACTATGGTAATACCTTTATTAGGTCAACCAAAAAGACTTAATAAACAAGCTTTTTGTGTATTTTTGGTTGGTCTAATAAACATTTACTATACTATGGACTTTGGAATTAATAGAGATCCTGCTTCTTAAGATTTCTGTAGTGCATGCTGTCTCGTTTCATACCAGCATTGCTTGATCATGTTAATTCCCTGCTTATTTCTATAATGATACTATATTTGGAATATGGGCTAAACATAGCAGGCTTCTTTGTTCATGTTCATTCCAAAAAACCTTTCTTAAAAAGCACTCCAGTTTTAGAAGTTAGACCTTATCAGTATAACTGGCAGATGTAATAAGTATGTGGATACATAGATTACTTGATTTACTGTAACATAAGTTATTTTGACATTAGTAGGTCATAGAATAGATTTAACTGTTCATACATTCTGTGTTTTCATAATTTTTTAAAAGGACTCAATATGATGATGCAGGGCAGCATATACGTAAATAAAGTTAGAAAATGCAGTGCTTCTATGAAATGTGAACATAATCCAATACTGGAGTAAATAGCAAGAAATAATTGTGAAGGAAGTAGCAGATTTTTTTGCAGATGATGCATGTCTAGTCACAGTTGGCATTATCTTAGAAAATAGGCTTCATCTGGAGGGCACTCGCTCTTGTGTAAGAGACAAGAAGAAATGCTTCTTAAAATAGTTCTTAATATGTGTACTCTTACTGCTACAAGAGAAAAAAGTGTGTTTAACAAATTAGCTGCTCAGTTAATAACAATTTTTATTATCTAAAAAAAGGGTTAAACATTGATGCTCTAAAAATATATAATTCTTGAAGTGGTGTTTGTATTAAATCACAAACTAGTGAATTTCAGCATGAAGCAATTGTCTTATGGTACACAATCCATTTTTGGTAATATCTAGTACAGGTGTTTCTGCTGATTAACAGATACTAAGAACATGAACAATATAAAATGTTGATGTCTACACACAATCTTGTGATGAAAAACTGTTGAAATTCTAATTCTAAACCTGAAGCCTTGAAATACTTGAAATATTCAGTAGCAGCTTGCATATGGCAAGATATTTTGTACTACTGTAAAAGCATCCTAAACTTTCAAACAGCAGCTGAATATATACAACACCAGGTGTCTCTTCGGCTATGACACAAAGTTAGTTAGTCTAGAAATATTCCAGTTAAAGAATTGTCTTTGCCTTTGTAAATCACTAATCTATAAACCACTTTGTCTTTAAATGGCTTTGATATACTGTATTAGTGGACCTAATGTAGTTCATTACTAGTTGTGCACAAGAAGGAGATGCTTCTTGTTTTACCTCCTTCAAAGGTTGGTGTCACAAGAATCTGAAGAAATTAAGGAGCAATTTCATGTGCTCTTTAGTTGTTTTGAGAGTTTTGTATCATGTAATGATTCATGAGAGATCAAGCATAGTGACTGCTCTTTTCAAAATGTATCCACCGCACCCCCACCCTACCCTAGTCCTGAGTTCTCAATGCTGCTATTTGTATCTCTTCTTAAGCAACATATGAGTTTGGTCATTTGCTCAGTAAAACACTGAAACCAACCTTAAACAGATATATCTTGTAAAAAGCTCAGCAACATGCAATATTTTTGTTGATGAACAAACATCTAATTATATGAACTTTATAAAATATTAATATCCACACAGAATCTTGAAATAAAGAACTGCTGAAATTCTAATCTTAAACCTGAAGCTCTCAAAGACTTACCAGCTGAAGTCTTGTTGCCTACCATAGTAAGTTGCACTAAAGTTATTCCATTAAATCTGTGAGAATTTGGTGAGCCACCTAGTCCATAAATTCTACTGATTCAAAAGGGCTAACTCTAGTTGTGATTTACTGTGCTAATATAAGTCACAGCTAGAGTAAGTCTGTTAAATTTTATTATTTCTTTTATTTATATTATTTATATCCTGTATTTTTTTCTCACAAGATCAAAACCTACACGATCAAACTTATGGAAGCATTGATTCACCAAATCCCCACTAATTCAGTTGGCCTACTCTAGTGTGACTTCCTTCATTAAGCAACAGGATTTTAGCTACTTTGCCACATGTGGGTTTACCATTCTTTTCCGGTCTTGATCTGGGCTTGAACCCAACTTGATCAGATGTCTTTATCTTTAGAGAAGAATAAGCACTGGTTGTCTTTTACTGCAGCTGGTTTTAGTTAAAATGATTTATATTAAATTTGATTTAATTAATGTACTGATATTTTTCAATGTAAACTGCCTCAAGAAGATTATAATCTTGAAAGACCATTAAGAAATATATAAAATACAAATATATGCAAAGCAGTGGCTAAAGGCTTATATATAGTTGAGAGTAACTAGTTACATATAACTAGTTTTTCAAACTAGTTAGCTATCTCTGGTTAAATTACAGTCACAATGGATGTTACAATTATTCCCCCAGTAAAGAAAACATAATTTCATTACACTGTGATGGTAATTTAACAAGGAATAATTATACATACTTTGTAGTATAGTTAACATTTCAGTTACATTTATTTTTATGTGGTGTGGATTCAGTAAATGTTGCGGGACAGATATACAATTCAAATGATAACATTCTGTGCTTTAATACCTTTCTCAGTTCTACTTCTTAAACTTGACTTACATGTACTTATGCACTTCTTCCTGCTGCAAAGGTTATGGACAACTTGAGAGAATGTATGTTTTCTGTGTTATTTTTAGGATTCTGGCATGACAAGGAACAACTAAAGAAGCTGATGAAAACAGAGAGGGTTTTTAGGCCGCAGAAGGAGTCAAAGGAATATGAGCCTGCCATAAGTAACTGGATAAAAGCTGTTCAGCGTTCTCTCTCTTGGTACAGCCAGACTTCACAGTAATGTGATTGATGCAGACTTTAGATTGGATTTATAGACTAGTGTAACCTACAGCTCTGGTTCTGCTTTAGAGTTAATTGTACTTAGCAGTTCCAGTAAGGTTACTCTAAATACACCAGTCATTCTTTAGTCACAGTGGAACTAAAGAAACCATTAGGCAGCAGTAAAGAAATTGAATGCTGGCGTTCTGTAAGGCCTTAAGGCAGGGGTGGACAACATATGATCTATGGGCAGCATGTGGCCCCAGGGATGCAAATGTGGTCCCCTGGCACCTCCACACACCCCAGTTTTCTAAAATGGGGGTCAGAAAATATCCTTGTGCCTTCTAGAGGGCCTCATCTGGGAGTTCTGAAGGGAACTCAGGACCTATGAGGCTCCTGATCCCCACATTTAGAAAAACTTTTTAAAAACATTTCTTCACTAGAAGGTGTCAAGGTTTCCTTTTTGGTTAAGAAAAACAATGTTTATGAGGAAACATTATGGGAGAGTGCCACATAACTGGATCCCCTCTTCAGTGTAAGTATGTGGGGCCCTAGACTTCTGGAGATCACCCACCCACTTCCTTAGGTATGATTTCCTGGATGGCCAAACTACATATGTTCTCAGAAATGTGGAAATGTAGTAACTCCATCTTTTTAAAAAATTAAATTAAAATACCATCCACAGTAATGGTGAAAAAAATCTATGTCTTGGTGTTTGAAGAAAAAGGAGATGGGAATACATCTAGTTAGGCCACAGCTTGGAAACATTAAATCATTAACCAAAATTATTTTGCTAATATTAATCCATTGCACAAAAATTGTGGATCAGTTCATTATATCAGTCAGTATTAATCTGTTATTAACCATGTTTTCAGTTTTTAAAAATCAGTGTAAATGACTAAAGATAGCCAAAAGTGGCCATAATTACATTCCTCAAACAAATTAAAGTAACACTAAATTTTAATAATTATTCAGACAATCAGTTGGTACATTTTTAGGATTAAAATAATGACTCTAATGTATCACAGTTGCTCTAAGGTTCAATAACTGTTTTGCCACAATTGTTGAATTATGGGCAATGGATTAATTTTAAGAAATTATCTTCAAACTCTGAGATTGCCCTAAAATGTGAGAATGTCTTATCAGAATGAAAAAAGGTAAGAAAAAAATATCTTCTGTCAGTTTTCGGATTATATCTATTGTGTCATGATCTCCATTTGACTTAGCCACGTAACCCTGATTCAAAGATGTGTGGCAATGGGAGATTTGGAACAAACAGAAGGCTTTTCTACTCCTAGAAATACCGTTATGGCAGCAGAAATGTCCTTGTGTCAGCTGAAATTTTTCTGACTGTTGAGATTTACCAGCAGTGGGATTTGCAGCACAGCCAGATAACTGGAGAAGAGGCAGGGAAAAGGCATGGGTGAATTATAATAGATCAAAATCTTCCCAAGTCCACACAGCTAGTGTGCCAGCACAAATTTGGGACAAGATGAAGGTAGTCCAAAGTCAGTTTTTAGTTTTCAGGTGACCTAGTGTCAGCTCAACTAGTCCTTTGTCATCTTAGATAATTAAAATTATGCTCCGAAGCAGAAACATGGAATATTGCTTGCCAACTGAGCATTATTTCACACATGGTACTGTATTGCTAAAACCATGTACTGGGTTTGGCCTCCCTTTGCAATAATTAGCTTCACTTTTTTTATCTGTCAGTCCTGGTTACTATAGGAAGCATTCTTAATTTATGCTGTTGGAATCAGTCGCCCATACCCACTATTGTGGGCACAGCTGTGACCTTCCCAATGTTGCTAGATGCCTGTTGGTTACAGATGATGGGGATTGTAATCCAGCATAAGGAGGCTATAAATTCTCCAACCATAGTCTAAGAGGTAGGAGATGTTCTAAGAAACTCAGTGATTACCAAGTGTGAAGTACCATTAGTATCACAGAACTCCGTGAATCATTTCTTTTTTAAGCTGCAAATGAAGAGAGAATCTAATAGATTTTTAGTTGGTTGTTGAAGGTTTTTCAGGTTGTTTGGCCGTGTTCTGGAGGTTTTTCTTCCTAACGTTTTGCCAGTCTCTGTGGTCAGCATCTTCAGAGGATAGGAGTTAGAACTCTGTGTTCTCTGTCTGCCTTTGAGAATAGATGCTTTCAAATTCTGAGCTGGCTGAGATTCTCTTTTGCTTATTAACAAAACCTAGACTTTTTCCACATGATCATCACTTTTTGTGGTTATGCGCATCTAATACAGTGGTGCCTCACAAGACGAATGCCTCGTGGGACGAAAAACCCGCAAGACAATTGGTTTTTGTGATAACTATGGTGCCTCGCAAGACGGTTTCTCATATGGCCATGCTTTGCAAGATGGTTCCCCCCCAAGACCAATGCCTCACAAGACAAATAAAATTCATTCGTCTTGCAAGGTTCCCTAAGACGATTTTTTCGCAAGACAGCGATTCTCACGGAATGAATTACATTCATCTTGCGAGGCACCCCTGTACTTCACTTTTTTCAAATCTTACTTTCATTATTGCCTTGCATCACTAAATCTAGTATCTACAGAAAATAAGTAAGATAAAAGTATTGTGTGAAATATTGAGTATGCACATAATGTATTTTCTAGCAGTGCTTATAGCCAAATAATAATTGTGTGTCTTCAAGGTGACACCAATTTATGGAGACCCTTTTCATGGTTTTCTAAATAGAAAATACACAGAAGCGGTTTACCATTAACTTCTGGAGATGTATTGGGACTGTGCAGCTTGCCCATGACCACACAAGCTTGTTCTTCTCCATGGAGTTGGCTGGATAGCTCAGTAAACTAGGTGTCTAGCTGTGGAGCAAGGGTCTGGGAGTTCAGTTCTCCACTGTGCATCCTGTGAGCAGAGCCAGCGATTTGGGCAAGCTACACAGTCTCAGGGTACCCCCAAAAGAAGGGAATGTTAAGCCATTTCTGAGTTTTTTCTACCTAGAAACACCTGAAAAGGTTTGCCATAAGTCAGATCTGACTTGATGCCAAACAATTTATTAATGATGACCAGAACACAAACTTTTTCAGCTCAAGGGAGTATAATGGAGCTGCTTGAAGGGGAAATTCCATGCCCATTTTCAGGCCTCTTTTTAGTGCAATGAGTCCACTTAAAGAAATTTTGCTTCCTGAGGCAAAAGATAGGATAGTATTGCTCATTCATTTCATATGCAGAGTCATATGAACTCTTGGTTCAACATTGTGGACAGCATGGCATCTCCTCTTAACCCCTATGTAACTATTAGATAGCCTTCTATTTTTGCCCTCTTCTGCCCTATGACATATGGATCTTGATGAATCTGAAGAGAGATCCTCTATCCATGGGAACTCTCAGTGTGACTCAGAACCCTGGACTCAAAAACCATGTGATGGTTCCAACTCACATGGAGAGAATGAATGGACATGAGCACCTTCAGAATTATCATCCTCCATGTATTGGAGGGCAACTCAACAGAAGAACAAGTCTAGAATATTTCTGTCTTAAGCCACAAGTTGAACTCAAACCAAAGTCTTGTCTATAGAAAGATAAAAGACCTTAGGTTAAGTACAGCTGTATGTATTTCTGGTCTACTGTCAATCAAGCATGAAAATCAAATTAATTTTGTTGGTATGACACAGAACTGTGGGGTTCTGGTCAGTATTTATAGTGCATAACTCTGATTAGGTTGCCTTACATCACTGTAGCAGTGGTCTTCAGGTGAGTAAATAGAGAATACAAAAGGGAAATGTTCCATGACAATCTGTAATGTATTACTTCATCTGTGGTATAGCCTGCACATAATTAGGATATCTAATGCAATGTATTTTATCCTTATGTGTTTTATTTTTATAATAGGCTGATAAGTATGTGTTTATGTTCCTTATAATGGATTATTGTCCCTGAGATGTGAAAATGTGTGTGTAAAAGAAGTACAGAAATGGGAGGAACAATTTTGTTATTTTTTTAAGCCAGTTCTATGGCAGTGTCTCTTAGAATTTTGTTTGCAAGCTAGAGCCAAACCAGTTTCTATTTACATAATTCAATTGTTTTGCACAGTTCTGAATGAATGGGGGTAATGATTAGTTGTCTGCATTATTCTGTGTTTGAGACATCTGTAATGCTGTGTATTAACATTGTAAACAATGTAAAAGCTACATCAGATACTAAATTGTGGAAGCATATGTTTTGTAACCTGGAACTAGTTGTTTAAAAGTGTAAAATCACAATATTTGTATTCATATTCTAATGTATTTTCTTAACTGTATAGATCAGTATGCAACTGGAAATAAATTTTAGGGTTGAAATAATTTTCATCTATAAATATACTATTTCCTGTGTAATGAATTATTGCATCTGGAATGAATTGCTTCATGTATTGACACTTTGTTCTTGATGGTGGTCATGTCAACTGGAAGTGTTCCCTTGTGTCACAGAAAATGCAGCCCCCAATGGGAACTGGTTTAGATATACATCGAAAAGTTGCTGCTTAATTGCTTGCATGTATAGTTAGACTCCTTAGACATTTAATTTAATCATTAAGAGATACTGTTGCTTTGTGGCTTAATTGTTGCTCTCCAGGTATAGAACTGTTTCCTTAGAAAATATATTTCTCTAATTATTCTGCTCTGCTTAGACACCTATGCTAAAATTGCTTTTTTCCTCTAGACTGATTTCACATTGTGTAAGTCAAAAAGAGATTGTTTGCATAGGAAAAAATTCTAAGCAGGAAGCCATAATGCATTAGTGCTGCTGACACACTTTGTTACTCCCTGAAAGCAATAGATATGGATGTCTCAATTACCACTAGAAACGTGCTTTTTAGTTTTGGAGAGCTGACTCATGTACTGCAGAGTAGTATCTTAAGCACTGAAGAGCCATGCTGTAGATCAGAACAAAAGCCCACTGAAGGCACAGTAACACTATGAAAATAAATTAGGAGAGGGATCAGGGAGTTTGAAATTCGTTTAAAGTCATGTGGCATCACGTGGTTTTGGAGTTGGTGTGTGCATCTTCTTGGGTAAACTTTTAATCTGTTTTTAAACTGTGTTGTATATCAGTTGAGGGGGCTACACAGTGTTTTAGAATCATTGCAATTGAGGCTTTGTCCTGCACCTGCCCATCCTCGTGCTGGCTGCCTCTCGCATCCACTAACCACTGCTGCTGCTGCAGTGTAATTTTAAATATACTGTATATATATCCTTTTTTATTTCTTGCAATCTGGCAGAGCACTAGTGTGGCAGATAGAAAAATATTAAAACAGATTGGACTGCATGCTTTCTCTGCAGCCTTACAGACACACAGAGGGTGGAGAAGGAGAGTGAGCAATCTGGCAGTCCAGGGACTGGCAAGAAGGCAGGCCTACTAGTGAGTGACAAAGAGAAAACTGAGTAGAAAAATTGACAAGATCAGCAGCTTCTAGGCTTGTGAAGGAGGCAGCAGTTTCCCCCCACCCAGCCCTTCACTCTGCTCTCTTTTCAGATCAGACTGCAAGGTTTTCTTGCAGCCCACAACTCACAGTTCCAGCATCCATTACCTGACAAACCCCGTAGACACAATTTACACTGGCAGAGGCATTGACATATGTCAGAATGATTTAAAATAAATCGAATTCATAAGCAATTTAAAATAAATAACCCTCTTGTGACTGAGTAAAATACTTCATTTTCCAACCAAAAAATATGCTTCATGGCCAAAAAATCTGTGCTTTTTGTGCATCATGTAGTTAGAATTTTTAAAGGGATTTGAAACATACTAAACATGATTCAAAAATAGATTTCTTTCCACATGTAACCAAACCATTCTGTTCACACAGTGGCCACTCAATCCCATATGGGAAGTATAGCGTCAATTCAATGGCATCCTTCTGATCATGTTCCCCAGTATTCCTATACATATGTACAAAGGTTCTCCAGAAGTCAAAAATTACTTGATGACACATTATTAATACTGATGCTGATAGTGGAGGGACTGTATATTTGTACAGTATATAAGTTTGTACAATCTGCTTTTTAAGCACTGTCCATCACTACATTTAAAAATGTGCTGTGTGACAAAATATTCCCTTTTACCTGTTTTGTTAAAGGATTTCCGTCATTTAGCTTCAGTGGCAAAGCCTGGCTTCTTGATACTTGGGAAGGAGGAAACAACTTTTCCCTATCCATTGTTGCCATGTATGGTTAACTTTATACATCTCTTATTCTGTTTTTCCTTATTTGCCTTTCCCGCTTCAGATGTCAAAACAGAGGTTCAGTTTCCAATCATGGTGTTCAGCATTGGTTTCAGTAAATTTATGTATGCTTTGCTATGTAAAGACAAAGTACTGTGATTTAACTAAACAGTGGAAAAAAGGGTATGATATGAAATCAGGTATTGTCTCATTCTATTATTTGTTTAAGTTTATTGAAACCTCAACAAGGTTTTCTTCCAAGTAAGGGTATAATTGCAATGTCCATCACATTGATCATGTAATAATAATAGTTGTGTGCCATCGTATCAATTATTATTACCCTTCTCAGGGTGTTCAAGTTACAAAGAACTCATAACTGGTTTTCCACTCCTTTTTTCTGGCACAACTCAGGGACCGTGTAATTTGGCAAACGTCAGAGAGACTATTCCTCCTGGGAAGCACAGGGGATGATCAAACTCTAGACCAGGTGATCCACTCCAGGAAGTTATCCAACCAGCATTTATTTAGAATTATTTATTAAAAATTTTTACTCCATCTTTTGCCTTAAAAAGGACCCACACACCTTACATAATTAAAAGATAATATGTAAGTATTTTTAAAAATTAAGAACTAAAAACAGTTAAATACCTATACCGTCAGCGGTATAGGTAACTCCCTTTCTTTCGGGGGGACGACCCTTGCCGCAAAGATTGACGTCTGCAGCTTGGGGGTACATCTGGACCCGGCGCTTACCATGGAAACCCAGGTGGCGTCTGTGGTCCGCTCTGCCTATGTTCATCTATGGCGGATTGCCCAGCTGCCTCCGTATCTTGATCGGGGGACCCTCACTACTCTAGTATATGCGCTCGTAATCTCGAGATTAGACCATTGTAATGCACTCTACGTGGGGCTGCCTTCGAGGCTGATGCGAAAACTTCAGATGGTCCAGAATGCAGCAGCCAGGCTCCTTAGTGGGGTGAGAAAACCAACACATCTCCCCCACTCTGGCTGCTCTGCACTGGTTGCCCATCCGTTTCCGCGTCAACTTCAAAGTGCTAATGATCACTTATAAAGCCCTAAACGGTTTGGGACCTCAATATTTGGCAGATCGTCTTCTTCCATCCAGATCTACCCGAATCACCCGTCATCGCCAGCAGGGATGGCTGAGGGGTCTGACGCCGACAGAGGCTCGCAAGGAAAAAACTAGAAGCCGGGCCTTCTCGGTGGTGGCCCCTCGGCTGTGGAATGCCCTTCCGACAGAAATTCGGCTGGCACCCTCGCTGGGTGCTTTTAAAAGCCAGTTAAAAACTTGGCTATTTAAGCAGCCCTTCCCTCCAGTCAGCTAAGTTTTTCCCCCCCTCTCTCTCTTCTTTTCTTATTCTATCCCATCTTGGTACTTCTTTCTTAAATTAATTGTCTTAATATTGCAATTGTATTTATATGATTATATATTTTTATATTGATTTATTTTATGTTGTAAGCCGCCCCGAGTAGAGGGGCGGGGTATAAATTTAATAAATAAATAAATAAAATAAATTCAGATAGTAAAATAAATAAACAAATACCACTAAAAAGATAAACAAAATCAACACCAAAAACAGATTCAAAGCAACCAGGCACAAGTCAATCACTAATGGAGAAACTTCTGAATCTGGCTGTCTCAGAGCAGGCATGCGCTGCTTTAAGAACAGGGTGTTCCTGACACAGAGCAAAAACCAGGAAAACAGGGACCTGGAACTCCAAAGTTCGCATGTAGCAGTCACACCTTTAGCATGACATCTGGAAATGGTGCTGTTGCCCACTCTTGTTTTATACAGTCATGTCAAGTCTGTGTAAGGTCTTGTTGAACTGTAAAAGCTAACAAAATTGTCTATAGCCGCTCAGAGTGGTTAACTAGACCAGATGGGCAGGATATAAATCAAATAAGCAAACAAATAAATAAATAAATATAAACTTTCGTGGACTAGACGCTACTACATGTGATGCATGAACTGTTATCTTCAGTTACAGGTGGTTATTATTTACCATTTCCACCCTCTCCGAGCCCTGGCTGACGCTCTAGCCAAGACTATAATGGGTATCTTTGGGTCATCGTTCATCATTTAGTCGTTTCCGACTCTTCGTGACCCCATGGACTAGAGCACAACAGGCCCTCCTATCTTCCACTGCCACCCGGAATTGTGTCAAATTCATGTTGGTTACTTCGCAGACACTGTCCAGCCATCTCATCCTCGGTCGTCCCCTTCTCTTGCCGTCACACTTTCCTAACATCAAGGTT